AACAAAACCAAATCAAAACAAAAGCCCTCCAGATAAGTGTGGCTGAGATTTATCATGCTGCACCTCGATGATAAGTGCAGACTGCTCTTTACATTCAAATGATTCAATTGTTTGGATTCAGGGAAGACAGCTGAGCACCCAGCAGATAAAGGCTCCTGGCCATTCTTTCTAGGTATCTTCTCCGCCTATCAGAAAATGCTGAACCTACCCAACCTTCCACCCAGAGTTTTCTTCTGATTTTAATCCTTTCCTTGAGTTTATTCAAATGTATCACTTTGGTAAATGGCCCCACCACTTCCCTTTCCAACTCTTTTCCTGGTTGTTCCCCAAGGAAAGCAAAGGGCTGGCTACGGCCTCAGTCATGGCTCCTGCTTCCTCTCACAGCTTGCATTGTCAGACCTCGATTAGCTCACCGAGGCTGCACTCCCTTCCTGAAGTTGCATTTCACTTTCCCCAAGCCTGGCCACCACCCAGCAGCCCCAGAGCTTCCTCAAGAAGGCTGTGACAGTAGCTTCCCTCCCTCCTGGGATCTTAGGCTGCTCTTGCTGGGGATTCAACTCTGCCTCTGTCCTGCACCTCCCGGAAGTCCTGGCTCTACCACAGCCAGAGGCACAGTGGCCAGAAGGCCTCCCTCACCTGGCTGCCTTGCATCCCCTTCCCCTCTGAACTTCCCAGTCATTCCAAACTTGTTGGCTGCTGCTCCCCTCTTGTTCTGTCACCTCCACACACGTTTGTGTAGGGGAGGTTCCTCCCAATGGGATTCTTAGCTCTCTTAGTTCCTAGCTGGAGTTCAGCTCCTTTGTGCTCTCTACCTCTTGTGTTGCTCATCTGAGTGAGGTTGCCACCTGTGGATGCTTGGTGCTTAGCACAGAACCTGGGCCATCTAAGGCTCAGTAACCATGGGCTGCATTGAGTGACCGCACTTAAATCTGAATATAAGCCACCTACTTTATTTAGGAGTTTTTTTTTTTTTTTTTTTTTTTTTTAATGTGAGACAGTCCCGTGGATTGAGCAAGGTTGTCCCAGTTTAATGGATGAGCAGCAGAGAGCCCAGATTCTAGGATTTCTGCTAAAGGCTTTAAAAGAAAACAATCGCAAGGCTCTGCCGTCCTCCTGGGGCCCGCGGAGGACAAGGCCTTTCTTCAGTCGCCTGGGCTCCGCAGCGCCGGCCCTCCTGCCCCTCCCGGCCCACAGCTGCGCGTTGGAAGACTGGATGGCTGGGGCCCCTAATAAAGAGCAGACCTCCCAACCTCCTGCCTCCCTCCCCCACTCTGCACACGGGTCTTCAAATTAAAAGTAACTAAAACCTAAGCCCTAACAGAGGAAAAGGAGGTAGGAGGCTGACGACAGCTCTAAGTGGAGGAAGTCAGGCTCCCTCCAAGGAAGGGAGAGCAGAAAGTCAGCCCCAGGGAACCCTGTCCTGCCGCGTCCGTTCCAGGCTCCCGGAGTGCGTGGCCCCCTCTCTGCTGGGGGTCGTCGCTCCACAAACTCTGGTGCTCAGGTTAGGGCCCAGAGCGGGCTGTGCGTGGGGGTCCCTTACGAGGGAGGCGCCGTTCCAGACGTATAGGGCTGTTTTCTGGAAAGAGCGCCCGGGGATCCCAGGAGAGACGCTGGGGCACCTTTGGGTCCAGCCAGCAGCCTGGAAGAAGAGCTGTGGGAGAGTCCTGGACAGCGGGTGACTCCACCCGAGGTTCCACGGGTTCTTGGGACCGTTCTGGCTAACTTTCTCTCCTCCAAGATTTGGGCCACTGTGAACTGGAGCAAGCGGAGACTCCTGGGGGTGGCTAGCGGCCCTGCGCTGGGGATGGTCTGAGGCCGGGGCGGGGTCCTCGGCTCCTCCCCATCTCCTGCACGCCTCCTCCCCACTGCCTCCCTGCAGAGGTCCCTTCGCGGGTCCTCGAGAAGCTAGCGCTTCCAGATTCAGACTCGGAGGGGCTAAGGTAAAGGTAGCAGCACCTTCTTTTGCTAATGACCAAACGGCCCTTCATTTCCAACCCCTGAAATCAAAATCCCCCACATCCTCGCCCCGCCCAGCAACTTCATTTGAAATGAAATTCGCGAGTTTGTTTAAGTGGGATTTTCACGACTAACGGCTTTGATTACATCCTTAAGTCTTAAGCAGAAGGCCCTTCGAATTCTCGGCGGAAAACAGCGTTGGTGTGTGTGTGTGTGTGTGTGTGTGTGTGCGCTCGCGCGCGCGAGCAGCTGCGGGGAGCAGAGCAGGAGAGAAAAAGCCAGTGCCACGGGAGATGCCAGAGAAGGCGAGGCGTGGCGCGGGCAGCGTCATCCCGAGGGGCGAGGGAGCCCGGTACCCAGCGCAGGGTGAGAATTTGTTTTTGTTTTAGTGACCACTCTAAAAAGTTGACAGGACCTTCCCTTTGAAGGCTAACTCACCCACTGCACCTTTTTACACCCTGGCACCCAATTTCTTGTCGCCCGCGGGCCTCGAGACGCAAGGCCAAGGCCCGAAAAGCGCGCTTTCCGAGTCTGTCCCTAAACGTCCCGCCCTTCTCAAAATCCAGGGTCAGACCTTGTTCCCTCCAGTTGCGGCTGCCTGGACTCAGTTTGGAGAGAAAACTGTTGCTCAACACCACTAAGGAAAACAAAAACAAAAACATCCCCAAAATTAGACAATCACAGAGCTGGTGCGGACTGAGGCCTTCGCCCACGGCCGGGGGAGACTCGTTTCCCGCACGCAGGCCAGGCAGCACTTCTGTCCAAGGCTCGGGGACCACCCAGGGCCGCACGTCGAGGGAGCGATCTGGAAGGATCTTAGAAAAACAGGGGGAGCGCAGCCTCCAGTCTCACCTCCCTGCGCCATCCCACGGACAGGCGAACGCAGACCCGACCCCTGCAGAAGCCCTGCACCAAGGAGGGAGGAAAACGCTCTTCAAACCCACATCTGAGCCCTGGGAGGGGCAAGGACTGCCGGGGCTGGACTAGGTTTCAGAACCCCACCGCCTCCCTTCGAGGGCCTCCTGCCCCTCGGCTGCTCCTGACCACTGGGTTTATTTTGCTTTGGCTAAGGAGGCAGATGTCGACCTTTCTTCATCTTCGCTGGTGCAGGCGCGGCGAAATCTTCCGCCAACCGTTTGCTCCCTTGCGCCACCCCCCACGGGGCGGCATCCCGGGAGTCAGCTCCTCAGGCCTTTAAACCTTGGAGAATGTAACACATGGAAACCTTTAGCAAATGTTTGTTAATGATCATAACAAAGGCATCATTCAAATTAGCCAGGTAATTGCTACCAGAAGGACGACAGGGTGCTCGCAGGCTCATCCATCCCTCCCCGCTTTAAACGCCTGAGAGTCACCGCCCGAAGACACCCCCTCCCGGCCTGCTTCCTCGACCGACCCCTTTAAAGGACTCCGAGGATCTGTGAAGTCACCATTTGTGGCTGGGGATCGCTGGGACGCTGCCTGCGAGGGACCCCGGCTGTGCGACCCAGCGGGCACTGTCGTCCCTCAAGACAGGCAACTCCTCCCCGCCTACTCTTTTGGGTTCCTGGTGTAGAATCCCAGACTCCTCTTTTTAATAATAGCAAGAAAGCGAGTGCCTTCTTTTTTCTTTTATTCCGCAGTCTGTGAGTAGGGGCGTCGTCGGTCCCTGTTCACCAACTACAGACATTACGGTATCCTGTTCGCATTCCGAACAAGGGGCCGTTCAGATTTGCCTCCAATGATTTCCTGCGGGCACATGTGGAAGTAATAGCGTGCGGGGCCGGCCCGAGCGGTGGAGGCGCGGCGCACGGGCGGGGAGACGGAGCCCCCGGCCGGGTCCAGCCCAGGCCGCTCTGTCCCAGCCCGTCTCCCTGCGACCTCCAGGGCTTCCTTGCGACCCTCCCCAGTGTCCGCGCTCCTGGTGAGCGAGAAGGTGACGGCTTTCGACGTGCCAGTTTCACCTGGGACAACCTAGCCCTCTGAGTGGCAGTGTGTGTGTGTGGGGGGGGGTGGAGGCGTAAAGGAGAATATAGAATGCCATCCCCAGTTCCCTACGATCAGAGAATTCAAAATTAGAGCGCGGAAAACCAGCGCGATCCCCTCCCCCGCCTCCCCGGGACGCCCTGCCGCGCTGTGAACTAGTTCTTGGAGCGTTAGCGCCCCCTGTCTCTCGCGAGCGGAATCTATCTGCCCCAATACTGGCCCTGAGTTTAGGGCTCAGCTCCAAAGCTTGAACCCACCCCGGGGAGGGAACTCAGACAGGGTCCAAAAGCACCCTTCCGAGCACTGGAAGGTGTAGATTTGCAGACAATTCCCCAAATGCCCAAGCCGAGTTTATTTTATTGTGCAAGATGGAAGCCAGGGCAACTTCTCCCAGATAACCCGAAAACAAAGGCGCGACAAGATAAGTGGATCCTATGGAGTAAAGGTCGTTCTGTCTCCCAGTTCCCTACCTACGAGACCCCTTGCTTACTGTTCCCTATCTCGAACTCCATCTCGTCTTTCAGAATCCCGACATCCTCGTCTTGGGCTCGACAGTGTGTCTCATCTCAGGGAAGAATTAGCTACTGCAAGGCACTTTCCCCCAGAGACCCTTAATTCGAAGCCACGTAACCACACGATTTTTCGCCAGGGCCCTATTTCTAGGGGGTTTAGGTTTTACAGAAGAGACATTTTTCCGATTCAAGATTTATATTCCACTGCAATTTTACGCCCTCCTTTTCTTCTGCACATAGAGAATACAAAACTATAGCCATGTAGGAAAAAAAAAAAATCCTCCAAATTGAGAGGCAAACTCATTCTGGGTGTGATGGGCCTGCTCCAGTTCCACAAAACCTTTTTCCGGGCAAAGCATCACCTCCCCTTCTATCACCCCCACCCCATCTGGTCTGCTTCTCCCCGCCTCCGAGTTGTTGTCGAAGTCTGGGGGTTGGGACTGGACCCCCTGATTGCGTAAGAGCGAAAAGGGAAGGCACAATCTGGAGACTGGGAGATTTAGAGCGACGGGAATTCGAGGGAAACTTTTATTTTGAAGAGGCGGGGTGGGGGGGGCTTCATTTCCTGACAGCTATTTACTTAGCGCAAATGATTAGTTTTAGAAGGATGGACTGTAACATTGAATCAATTACAAAACGCGGTTTTTGAGCCCATTACATTTGGAGCTAGAGGGAGAGAAACAGGAGGGCACTGCAGCAGCGAACTGGAGGCCTCCGGTGGACTTTTGACTCCATGTGTAGGATTTTCCTTGTGGACTGACGTAGGAGAAGGTAAGGAGCGGCGAAACGATTTTTGTTTCTAAGGCAGTCCCTGATGAGAGCCCCGTGTTCGAAGAAGCGAAGTAACCTCAAATTTCTGGGCAGAAGACAGGGAAAATGGAGCTGAATTCCAGTTGTGTGTTCGGAGAGTAATTTATTCGGAATAAACGTCGCTGGGTTGCCTCTGTGTGGGGGTGGTAGTGGGGGGACATAACCACAGAATTAGGAAAGCTGAGAATTAAAAAGAAAAAAAAAAAACATTTCCAGAACTATTTCTAAAGCTAGTGTTTTTCTGACAATCTTATGGCATCCTCCAAGAATTGTTTATGCTTACATTTTTGAGGTTTCTTTTGGGGGTGAGGGTGGCGTTCTTGGATACTGGGCCGAATACCAAGGAACGCTGCGGGTGGAGGCAGAGGTGTTTGCCTTCTTCTTGGCAGTGGGTCCTGCGAGGCGACAGGTTTTTAATGAGTATTTTCATTCCTCGCCCGCGGTCTGACGGGATAGAGCTGGGGCGGAGGTATGGGGAGCGGCAAGGGGACCCGAAGGGGTGGGCAGGAGAGGGCGCCTAGTGGAGCGTTAGCAAGGGCTGGGGTGGAGGAGGTGTGAAGGGCTCTGCTGGAGCGGGCCGGACCTAGGAAGCCGGTAGGGTGCACATGGCGCCAACCCAGCGCGCGTAATTACTGGACGGCGCTGCGCCAGGTGCGAGCCAGGGCCAAAGGCCGCATCGCAGTGGCAGCTGAGGGGGCCCGCGTAGGAGCGTAGGCGGGGGCGAGGCTTTGGGGTAGCTCCGGAGCCGTTTGCCAGGTCAGCGAGTTGCGAGGAGCCGCAGCGGGCGCCGGTCCCGCAGTGCGCTGGGATTGCGCGCCTCTCCCGGGGGGCGCAGCGGCGGCGCGGGCGAGTGGTCTGGAATAATGACAAACACATTTGGCCCCGAGTGATGAAGGCGTCGTGGCTTCGCATTCCAGCAACTGGGATTTAAGGAATTTGGAGCTGCACTCCGAGGGGCCCGAGCTGCGCGTGGTGGTCTCCACCCCCACCCGTCTCATCTCGCCTCCTCCTTCGCGAGGATAACTGGAGAGGCTGTGCCGTGGCTGCTCGCTCCCGGCTTCTAGCAACGGAGAGGCAAGGTCTCCGAAGAAGCGCTGGCCTTCTCGGGAAGACTCCTCGACGTGGCTGCAGGTAAGATAGAAAGGGGAGAGGCCAACGGGCCTACCTAGCTCCCAGGACTGGAGGAGCCCTGCCCTCCCGCCCCCTGGCCGAGGTGAGGTGCGTGGCACTGGCCACCCGCGCTCACCCGGCGCTGCTGCAGCCTCCCCAGTCGCTCTCTTCTCTACGTCTCTTCTACACCGTCTTCCCTGGCCCTTCGACACTATCCGAGCGCACCCCTCCTTCTTACACCGTCTGCCCCCGTGAAAATGGGGTTCTTCGCGTGAGATTAACTTCTCCCCGCAGCACCAAGGGAGCGGGCGGTGTCCACTTGGCTTAGAAACAACTGCGCTCAGCATTGTTTGGAAAGGGTGTTGACCAACTCGCGGGGATAGGGAGCGTGGGCGACCCGAGCGTGCTGCGGGAGGGAGCCCGGGTCTCCCGACCGGGTGTGCCGTAGCTGCCAGTCGCCCAGCTTTGTGCCTTGGCCAGAAAGGAATTGCTGAGCTGTCTGCGGTCGGTCTCTCCCGCCGCCTGAGCACCCATCTCGAAACAGGTCCCCCCACACTACTAAGACTCCGAGAGGCGAGAAAAGTGCCCGAAAGAACTTGCTACTCGGTCCGTCCCGTCCCAAGGAGAAGAGGAAAACCCAGGCCAGCGAGGAGCGCGCAGGGCCCCTGTCACGTCTCGGCCGCCGCGTGCCAGGCCGCGCCGCTGGAAAAGCCCCGGGCTGGGCGGTGTGGGAAATGGCTTTTTGGCTCCGTGGCCGAATTGCTCAATGTTTTGAGCCGACTGTCTTCGCCTCGGTCGCTTCCTATCACAAGTAGGTTGTTTTTTGGAGTAGGAGGGCAAATGGGGCGCTACAATCCCCATAGAACCTCTCGCCAGACGAATGTCCCAAAGCCCCGTGAGTCTCCTGGGCCGCAGGGGAGGAAAAGGGGGACCCGGCCTTGCAGGCTCTGTATTTTACGTGACCCCACTCCTCATCTTGCCTGCCTGAACCCCGGCGTTGCAATTCTCCCCCCTTCTCGGCCGCTTTGCCATTATCTTTTTGATGAGGGGGCTCTTCCGAGATCGGGGGCCTGTCCAGTCCTGCTTTGACACTCTGGCCAGTCCTGCTTGGGAGTTCTTGTACAGTCTTGCTTTTGGATTGACCCGAGTACAGCTGGACCAATTTCACGAGAGCGAGGGGGACGGGAGGGGAGGAGGTGCCAGGAGAGGGTAGGTCCTCGGTGCCCAGCTCTTGCCGGTCCTTAGATCCGGACTGGAAGCAGAGCCGGGCTCCCAGCTCTGGACCCCGGAGCCGCTTTCTGACCCGGGCGCGGACGGCAGAGGGACACAGGGGGAGGGGCCTTGGGCTGGGCTTTCCAGCTGCAAACGCGTCTGGCGCCGAGGCGGGCCCGTTTTGTGCCTCTTGGGGACTGGCCGTGGGCGGCGCGCGTCTTGGGGACGTGGTGGCTAGCGCTTTCCTGCAGACCCCGTGGGTGGGGCTCCATTTAGCATTAGGGAGCTGCGACCAGGTTACTCGTTGCTGACAGAAAAGTGGCAGTTCTGGGGAAAGAGCTAAGAACTGGGAAGGTGGCGCAAAGGTGCGGCTCTGAGTGTCCCTCGCCTCCAGGAGGTCCGCCCCCTGCAGCAGCCTCGGACGGAGGGGCGGAGGGATCATGAGGGGTCGCGCCCACCTCAGGGTACAGGATCTGGGGGAGCTCCTCTTGCAGGCCGGCCGCACTGCTACCCCAGCCAGGAGCGGCTTCCTTTTGTTTTAAACCGAACTGTTAACCAGGGATGGGTTGGAAGAGTGGAGGGTAAGGAGGGCACAAAAAAAGAACCTCGGAAAAGGGGCGCCTATCTTCTACATTTCTTTCCATTTTTCACCCGCAAAAGGAGGACGAGAGGTTCGAGGGCAGCCGCGGCAAAGGCGAGCTTCGGGCAAGGTGGGCACCGGAGGCGGCGGCAGCATTCTTGAAAACTAGAGGCGCGGACTCGGCTTCCCCGGGCCTTCCGAGTTAGCCGTGGGGCGCTCTCGCCCATAGGAGGCGCTGGTGCACGACTGTAACCCTAAACCCCCGCCCCCTCCCTCCATCCCGCCCGGCCCCCTCCCTCCAGCCAGCCCGGCCCTCTCAGGTCTTAGTGCAAAACAATACAAACACCGAACGTACTGCCTGGGGCGCGGCGGACACTCCGGCTCCGAGCTCGGGAGCACAGTCCGCACGGCCGTGGGACCCCCAGTCTCGTGGCGACCCGGCCGCCCAGGGAGTGGAGTGGGCTGGAGGGAGAGCAGCCCCACAGCTTGTGTGGGTGTGGCGGGGTCAGGCGCCGGACGGGCAGCACGGAACCTCCAGGAGAAGGCTTGCGAGGGCGATCCCCATTGCACTGTGGGGGACCCCGCGCCGGAACAGCGCGCGGCGGAGCGAGCCGGCGGGTAAGGTCCGCGGGGCCGCCGCGCCCTCTAGTGGGCTCCCGGAGCGTATCCCGGCTCCGTCAGCCTCGGGCGTTCGGGCGCCGGGAGCCAGGGGTCCACGAGCGCAAGCTCAGCTGGGTCAGCTCTGCGCCTCCTGGAGGATGGGGTGCACGCGCCGACGGGTGGTCCCGGAGGAGCTGGGTGGGCGAGTCCTGGGTTGGGGCTGGAGAACTGGGGCGTCCTTATTATAACTCACCGCAGGGGAGCGCAGGCCGCCGAAGGCTCGGTTCCCCGCGCTCCCGGGCACGGTCGACCCTGCGGGCTCCGGGTCGACGCGCTCCCTGCCGCACCGGGCGGGCGGCCTGTGGCCGATGTGTTGGTTTTACGACCCCCGTTATTGTGCAGCGGGAACAGTCGTTTCCAATTTGCCGGGCTGCACCCGCCCCCGCCGAGCGAGTTTATGAGGGTGACAAGAGCGTCAGGACGGAGGGACCCGCCGAGGGGACCAGGCGCGGGTCGAGCTGCGAATCCCGCTGAGCTCCGCGCCCGGCGGCGGCGGCAGCGTCCTGGCTTCAAGGCCCCTAGCTCCGCGGGCTGCTCTTGGCGACCGCAGCGATGGCGACCAAGTCTGTTACTCCCTGGGCCCCGAAGGGATTTGGACATCTTTGACAGCAGTTTTGCAATTTTTGCTTCCACTCTGCGGCCTTGTGACTGAAGTCAACACAAAACCTACAAGTACAGTTTAAGAAACGAAGAAGTTGTAAGAATTGGGACATTTTAGCTCAAAATTCCTTGCGGTGGCGTTTGCGTCTGGCCAACCCTAGGACGCAATCCCTTGACCAACACTGCCACCTGCTGGCTGATTCGAAGAACTGCCATGACCCTCTGTTTCCTGGAGACGCCAAGCGAATGCGAGCGATGGCTTGTTTTGCTTTCCTGTGAAACTACAGGACTCATTAGACGGAAGACATTTATTTGTAGATATTTGTGTAGTTTCCTGCCCTACATATTTATTTTACTTTGGGAATTGAATCCAGGCCCCAGAGCACGCAAGGCAAGCTCCCCTACCACTGAGCTTCACTCCAGCCCTACTACTTGTTAATCTTTTACATTTAGACAATGAACAAACTGTTTGCATTCGGAGGGGACCTGAGGAAGGGAGCTGAGTGTCTGTGTTCCTGTTTATGAGTGAGGAGACCTGGTATCTCTCGCTTGATGACCTCAGCCCAATGCTTCATTGTACTGCAAACTGCTAGTCCTAAGACTGGCTCATTAGGCACTGGTCAGTTTAGTGACAATCAAAAAAGAAAAAAAAAGTCATTTTTGTCCTCCCATGGGTAAATATCTGGTGCAGAGTGAACAGAAAGGTTTATAAGTTTGGATTGTCCCATAAAATGCTCCTGTGTGGAAACACCCCAGCGCCCACCCATCCCTGGAATGTCAGATGGACCCAAACAACAACCCAGGCTGGGTGCAGCTCCTGGGCAGCACATTCTCTCCTAGAAAATAGAAACAGAGATGAAACTATGATTACTGTTAGGAGACTGAGTTGACTGTTGCAGAGAAAGAAGAAGGTGTGTATGGTTTTGTTTTTTTGGCTGGGTCTCCATATTTAATTCAGGCTGGCCTTGAATTCAGAACAATCCTGCCTCAGCCTCCTCAGTGCTGAGATTACAAGCATGCACCACCACCCTGCCCTACAAGATATGTAATTTTCACAGTTAGAATTAACTTAGGAGAGCTGAAATTAACCAGACCTCAGAAATCTGAACCTTGAGGTCAGCAGTGGCTCTGGGGCTGTGAGAGTCTCTTTTGGTCTTTAATCAGGGCAGGGTGGGGTGACACTCAGTTTTCATGGTCCTGTAGGGGGATTATTGTGCCGCTGGGGGTGGGAAGTGGCTGCTCTGGTCTGAGAGCGCAACCGCTGGCTCTTCTGAAGGTGGGGCTGTCAGTTGTGCTCTCCGCTTATTTACACTCCAGCTTAGCATGTCGTCTCTGCTAATGGAGTCGCGTTCGGTGGCGCTTCCTTCCCCAGTGTGTGCAGGGGATGAAAAGGCACATGTCAGAAAACGGTAGCTGCAGGCACACTTATTTGTCCTGTCTGTCCAACGTCAGGCTTCACAGGGGCTGGAGGTGGCCAGGGCAGGGCAGTGAATTTCGCCTGGGGAGAGCCAGCCTTCTTCTGTACCTGCCTGTGTGTGGGAGACCCAGGGCGCATCCTGTCCTCCCACGGCCTCCGGGGTTGGGGGTTCGGGGTTTGTGAGCTTAGCAAGGAGAAGTGGAAGTAGCCGCTGTGGTGCTCTGGTGTGGCTGTCCTGCGGTGCTCCTCAGGAACCTGGAGAATGCCAGCAGGAAAACCAAAGGGCTTTCTATTCAGCTGGGTATCAGTGCTCGAGTGACCAGGCAGAGCAAGCGAGAAGAAGAGGAGGCAGAGAGGTTCAGCAAGATGGGCAGCATGTCACAAGGGAGCAGCAGCCCGGCTCTGGTGTAATGTGTACGCGGCTCTGAGAGAAGGCATGCGAAGAATGAAGAGATGCAGGCAGAAAGCAAAGACCAGGAAGGGACCCGTGCTTCCCATAAGGGGGTTTGTCTTTGCCCACTGTTATACTGAGGTGCTCCTCGGCATTCATAGCCTCACTCAATGGCTTATATTTGCGTGTCTGACTTTGGGGTGAGCTCTGGGACAGGAGTAGCTGGTTAAGGGTGAGCTTTTGCTCCCTGGGTGGACACGTGCCTCACCCTCCAGGGTTCCCTCTTCCGGCCTCGGGGCAGACAGGAGTACATTGCCTGGGTCACAGATGAGTAATGGCGAGAAGTTCTACAAACTTGCCTGGATTTCAGGCCAGGGAGTGGCTCTTAGCAGACATGAGTTAGAAATCTTAAGCAAACACACGTGGAGGCTCAGAGTTCACACCATTGCTGCTGGGCTCAGGGGCTCTGTCGTCACTGCCCACATGGTGTGTCAATCAATAAATGACCCTCTGTGGCTGAGTGTCCGAGGGGTTGGGTGCACAGGACCACCTGGCAGGTCTTGCCCATGGCCCTGAGCCTGAGCTGTGAATACAAACACAGAAGCCCTTGCTGAGTTCTGCAGGACTGGAGAGCTATGTCCCAGGGAGGCCTGGCTACTGAAACACAGGATATAAATGTGATAAAATTCAAGACAGCAAGCTGGCACTGGAAGCTGCTTTGAAGTCCGCTAAGTGGATTATCAGTGGGAGGCTGATATTTGTATGTACAAACATACCGGCCGTTACTGCTAATTGTGGTAAATCAGGCAGCCAGCCTGGCTCTGGGGGCCCCCTGCGCCTGCCACCCCATGTTCTGGGCATCTGCCAAGATCCCCAGAAGCCAGCAGCCAACGGTACTGTGAGAATTACGTGAGGGTTCACAGCCCTGTAATTACGTTTCTCCCACTGTGGGGAGCAAGAAGGAGGAGGGGTGACACTAGTTTGCACTTAAGAGTGCAGGGGGATGGGACAAGGTCGAAACTCTGACCTACCCTTAAGAGACCATGTCCTGTGGTGGAGTGGAGGGAATGTAGCTTTTGCCTTTCACAGACTTTGGGTTAGAATCCTGGCTTGTGTCCACTAGTTATGTGTCTCTGGGTTATTTGCTAAACCTCTGGACCACAATCACTACTTAAAAACAGCCATGTCACAGGATTATTGTTATTATTGTTTTCTTTTTGAGACAGGGTTTCACTATACAGGTCAGGCTGGCCTTGAACTCATTTTGTAGCCGAGACTGGCCTTGAGCTCTCTCTAATCCTCCTGCCTCAGCCTTCTGAGTACTGGGATTACAGACTTGCACCAACATGCTGGGTTGTCACAGGATTATTCTTTTTTTTTTTTTTTAAATTTTATTTATTTGTGTGTGTGTGTGTGTGTGTGTGTGTGTGTGTGTGTGTGTGTGGCCAGCTCAGCCCAATGGGGGGCGGGAGGGGGGCTGGCTGGCATGTGGTGCTGGGGGATTGAACTGTGGTCCCTGTGCTTTGCTAAGCTTGTTCTATGTAGGTGCTTTAGACCACTGAGCCATCTCACCAACCCCACAGGATTATTCTTAAAAAACAAAAATGAAAAAGGCATCCACATGAAACTTTGACTTAGTCAGTGAGAGTTTATTATTATTTTTATCCTTCCCTGCCCCTCCCCACAAGAATTCCACCTGTCACATACTTGTATTTCTCCCTCCTCCATTTTCCTGGCAGAATTCCATGAAGCAGAGATTGCATCTCTCGACCAGGCCACTATTAAACAAAGGTACTTGGTCAGTCAGCACCTATACTAGATTATTAGCTACTGGATCCTCTGCCTACCTAAACCAACAAAGAGATAAACGAAGAGCTGCTAGGGCTAAGCAAGGCATAGACTAACCCTCCCTCCACCAACAGTGCCCTTGGAGCGGGTACACACCCCTGGGTGGTCAGCATGCCTGGTGATCAGCCCAGCCCCCTTGGGTGCTGCATGGTATGAGCCTGGCTGCAGAGGCAGAGCTGGGGTGTTTCCTGGGAGGTCCCCACATCTTTCCTGCTCAGTGCACCCAGAGTGTGGACTGGGCTGAGGGACGTGAAGGGGAAGGTGGAGTGTGCAGAGATGTGCATGAATAGGAAAAGATAAAGCTAAAGAAAGTGACTCTTTTCCAAGCTGACCAGAAGAGACCCTTCAGGAGTTCCCCTCAGTAACAGCCTCCCCGCCCCTCAATTCCTTTCTCTTCCTCATCCTTCCCCCCTGCCCATGTGTCTGCTACTTGCGCTGTTAATGCCTGCTAAGTGCCTTCTGGATGTTTGAACTCTTTCTCCACTTTCTGTTCCCCAGATATTGTAGGAAGTCAGAGATGGGAGAACTTGGTTCCTGGAACTTACAGGGATCCCCCAGCCTCCTGAGGGTGGGGATCGCAGGTGTGCGCCTCTCTGCTTTCTTTCTGTTCTTATTTCTCCACTCCGATCTGTGCCTCCACTTTCCATCCCCATGGGTTTCAGCTGTGAATCCCACAGGTCCCAGAGACCCAGGGTGGGACCTGGTGTAAGCCTTGGTGTCACACAGGCCACTCCTAAGGGACACTGTCAGTGGGAGTTTCAAAACCTGTAGATCAGAACAACACTTTACAATATTTGTTCCAGTCTAAGGCACTTTTCCAAAAGTTGTGGAAGATGTGGATTGAGGATGATACCAGAGACAGTACACACCGATAAACAACACTCTGGTTTAGAAATTTTGAGGATACACTATGCTTGTTTCTTTATATGTGTGTGTGTGTTCTTAATTTAAGTGGTCAGAAGGAACAGTTCTGCATTCTGAGCCTGCAAACTGGGACTTTCCAGAGCCTGAGAGCTGCAGGCCTCCGCTGTGTTTAGTCTCAAACCCTGTCCTGACCTGGAGGCCACTCGGCCAAGTGACCCTTTCTTTTCAGATGTCTCATTGTACTAACCAAGGAAAATAAACTGGCTTTTCTTTCCTTTTGTTTTTTAAGGGTCATTTTCAGTCGTCTAATGTTGTCTTTGTCTTTTGACTTTTGCAGTTTTCCAGAGCTATGGGGACGTCCCACGAGGTCGTCTTGGTCCTCGGCTGTCTCCTTGCAGGTATGTCCTCCTGGCCTCTGAGCTCCTTGTCCCAGGGAGCTGTGCTCTGTGTGTGCCTTACCTGTGCTCTGTCACACTGTTCTGAAGGCCCTGGGAAAGGACTGATCTCTAGGGTGACCCCCAAACCTGCATTGCCTGGGCTGCACTGCACCACTAGTGCACTGATCTTTATGGCACCACCGTAATGGTTCTGCAAAAGGAGTGCTCTCCCATGGCAGTTTGAGGATGTCTGTGTCTCACCCCCACTGGACATGGTCCCCAGGAGCCACAGGTGGGCTCAATCCGATATGCTCCAAGGGAGTGAAAGCCACAGAATGCTGGCCCAGGAGCTCCTGCTGGCCAGCTCGCGCCTGTTTCAGTGAAAGAGGTTTACTTTGCTTGAAAATCCCATTTTTTAATCCTTCCCTTGGAAGAGAATCCATAGAAGAATGCTTGGCCCTTGGGGGACCCTGTTTCCTCCTTATTTGTTAGTGCCACTTGTTTATCAGACTTCTTGAGTTACCATCCAAATATTTAAGTACTGAAACTGGTGCTTTTCTTGTCTGGGGAGTTAACTTAGTGTGGAAGAATTAAGCAACACCAGAGAGTGAGTACTGTAGCTCAAAACTCCACATAGTAGAACTGGTTGTGGTGGCACATGCCTGTAATCCCTGTACTGGGAGGCTGAGGCAGGAGGATCACTGTGAGTTCAAGGGCAGCTACACAGTGAGTTTAAGGCCAGCCCCAACTACACAGTGAAACTCTGTCTCAAAAACCTCCACTGAAGGTCCCAGTACAGGATGACAGCTGGCCCAGATGCAGACAGCTGTTGTCCTGACCAACTGCAGGCATGCAGTGGTCACTTACTGAAGTAGGGTGAGATTCTCACATGAGGTTTGAAGGGAGAGCTAAGAGAACTCGTTCACAATTAAGTCCTACTATCTCTTGGATCCGTTTTATGGCCAAGGCAAGCTAGACTGAAATTGATGAATTTAAGAATTTTTATGAAAGTCCACACATCCTTCCTGGGCTCCTGGAAGTCACTAGGAAACACAGCATCTGCAGGGCAAGAGAGGACGAGAGCACAGACCCGCTCTGTACTGCGGCTGCCTTGTCCTCACCTGCGTTCTCGTCCCCCTCTCTGAGTAAGGGAGACTTCTGAGGGGGATGTGTGCTGTAAGAGCCCACATGGGCTTCTGCCCAGGACATCTTGGGGTATTTTTCAGCCATGCATGTGGAATATGGAGCTGGAGTCAGGTGTCCTCTATTATGTGGGGAGGGCCCCACGGAGCTGCTAAAGCCTTGGGACTTTTGGGTCTTTAGCAGATGCAGCCGCTGCGGTAATGGGGGCCTTTTCACAGGCATCCAGACCAACAGATTTGGGATAGAAATAGCCTTTGTGGGAGCTGCAGCGGTGGTTCTCATTCGCTGGGTGAGACCGTCCTTTCTGGCATTGTCCTGTTCAGTGCATGTTTCCTTTGACAGAACTGAGCTTAGCCCTCGGCCAGCTTTCATTGCCTGCCATCCTTCCAAACGAAAAGGAACAGGTTGTGCAGCTGAATTCATCCTTTTCTCTGCAATGCTCTGGGGAGAGCGAAGTGAGCTGGAAGTACCCGGCGACTGAAGGGGAGGCCCCTGACGTGGCCATCAGGAGCGAAGAGAACAACAGCGGCCTTTTTGTGGTGGTGCTGGAAGTGGCCAATGCCTCTGCAGCCCACACTGGCTGGTACACCTGCTACTACAACCACACAGAGACGGAGGAAGGCGAGGTTGAGGGCAGGCACCTCTACATCTACGTGCCGGGTGAGTTGGCAGGTGCTGTGGACCACGCCTCTTTCTCTTGCTTATTGTATTAGGGTATCTTTTTAAATGAAAAATTCAATATTTATTGGATAAAATTGAAAAGTAAAGGTCACACTTTTTTTTTTTTTTTTTGTAAGACAGTGTCTTGTTGTGTGGCACATACTGGCCCTGAACTCAAAGGGATCCTCCTGCTTCAGCCCGCCTTGCACTGAGATTAGAAGGCTGAGATACCACACCTAGTTTGCTGTTGTTTTTGAGGTGGGATATTGTGATAGACCGTTGGCTGCCCTCAAATTCTTATGCTTGGAGGATCCTGCTGCCTCAGCCTTCTGGGTAGCTGGGACTACAGGCATGTGCCACTGTCCTGGGCAGAACATGTGAAATTAAATAGTTCATCAGTCATTACTAAGAAATTCATTATCACCATTTCAAAGCTGCACAAGTTCTTAAAGTCACCTTTGCTATGGCACACCCTTTGCATGGTGCGAAATGTGGGAACTCTACTCATTCCTATTCATTTCAGTCAAGCTCAACACATACATATATTTGTATTTTTTAGGGAAGGGTCTACAGGGAGTTCAGAGTCTCACTACTAGATTGGACTTGTAGTGATCCACCTGTTTACAGCCTCCCAAGAGCTGGGATTACAGGCCATGCCACCCAGTCTCAACTGCCATCTCAATGAATTGAACCCCCAGTCCCTGTGCCTGCTTACAGGCACTTTAATCCACTGAGCTATTTGGCTGACCCTTCAACAGATATATTTATATGTCTCTGCTGGAGGCAGTAGAGTGTGATAGAGGTGACCTGTTACTACTTATAGTTCACAGCAACCACAGCTTTCAAGCAGCCACTGAGTTTTCAGACTCAATACAAGTGTGCACTTACTTCTGATGAATTGCAAAGAATTTCCTTGCATCTTTTTGACCAAAATGTAGGGGGATGCTCATGCTAGTGTTGCTCTGTGCCCTCTGAGAACCAGATGCTGAGATAGCAGCAAACGTAGCTGGGCGTGGTGGAGCACACCTGCAATCCCAGTACTTAGGAGGCTAAGGCAGGAAGATAGCTGTGAGTTCAAGGCCAAACTGGGCTGCTAATTGAATTCAAGGCCAGCCTGAATTGTGTTTGAAACCCTATCTGAAAAAGACAAAGGAAAAGAAACTGTGGGGTTAAGCATCCAGGGGTGTCATTAGGGGCGGGGTCTATGAGTGGAAGTAGGCAGGTGCCAGGCAGAGATGGGAAGACCATCTGCCTGCCCGGTAAGCCCATTCTATTGGGCGCTGGGCGGAGCCTCACTTTGGCAGTCGTTGGCAGGAAGCCTCCTGGGCAGGGCAGCCTTATTTGTGATGGGCTTTAGGGCTTCGTGGTCTGGAGACTGTAGGGTGCTTCCTCACAGCAGCGGAATGGGTCCCAGACGTGGCCATGAACTCAAGGTGCCTTTGCTCCGTACTGCTCCTTGCTCCACTGAGGTTTTGGTGATGTCTGCATTTGTCTAAGGACATTGGCTAGAAGAAGGACCCTGTTCTTACTCGAGTGTTGCTTAGGTTGTGGCATGGGCTGCTGAGGAATGGCGGCATTTTTTTTTTTTTTTTTTTTTTTTTTTTTTTTGTGAAATAGTGGGGTCTCACTACGCAGTTTGGGCTGGCCTTGTGCTCACTTTTTGTAGCTGCCAGGCTGGTCTCGGACTTGCAGAGATCCTTCTGGCTCAAACTTCCGAGTGCTGGGATTACAGGAATGAACAACCATGCCTGATTCTGGGGCTGCGCGGTGGACACCCACATCCGGGGCTGAGATGAATAGCAGCATTTTGAAAGAATGCTGGCTGATGCGTGAGGGACACCATTCTATACGTTTTAACCTGAAATTAACTGGCAGCTTCATTTGCTGAAATGTTTGGTAACAGAGTTGAAACTCTGAACACAACATCTCAGTATGTTGTTGAGCAAAATTAAACTTGAGACTTGGTTAAAAAAGATGTTCCAGCATGGGAGACTGAGGCAGGAGTGTTGAAGGCAGCTGAGATGGAGAGATCATTTCAAGCTGGAGGCCAGGCTGGGCCACACAATGAGTTCAAGGCCAGCCTGAATTCCATAGTGAGAAGTTGTCTCAGAAAACCCAAACCAAACCAAACCAAACCAAACCCAAACAAAAAAGAGAAAAAACAAAGGACAGGTATTTAGAATGTCGCCCCAATTTCACATGTAAATACTTCACTTAACTTCCTTCTGTGTGGTTCCCTAGATGTGGAGGGATTTCTCCCTACTCTGAAGAGAGTAGGAAGATGGGATTGTTTAAAAAAAAAAAAAAGTCTTGAAGCTTTCATCTCCTAAAATTGCCCAGAAATGTTCCCTGCTCAGTCTGTCTCCCCAGCAGATCACCAGCCCTGCCCTCGCCTTGTCCTGGTCATTTTTTCTTTTTTTTTAGGTTAGGGAGATTCAGGTCCCCTCTCTGCAGCTGGCTTTCAAAACTTTTAGTACTTCTTACCACAGCAGCTTAACTAGCTGCTTCCTTGACAAGGGAGGTTTCAGGTCATGGGGTTACACTTTTTATTGGTAGTGCCAGGGTTGAGACCAGCGCTCACGCAAGCTAAGTGCGTATTCTAGCCCGGTGAAGAACCCCTGCCTCTGAATTGTACTTAGTGCCGAGATATGGTTGTTGTTGCTTTCCTCTTTTTTTTTTTTTTTTGTATTTTAGGGAAGGGTCTACAGAGTGTTTAGGGTCTCACTATTAGATCAGACTCCTAGTGATCCACCTGTTTACAGCCTCTCAAGAGCTGGGATTACAGGCCTGTGCCCCCATACCCAGTCTCAATTGTCATCTCAGTGTGCCCTGGGGGTGTGGTTGCTTTTGCATAGAAGGCCCGGGGATTGAACCCTTGGCCCCTGTGCCTTCTTGCAGGTGTTTTAATCCAATGAGCTATAGATATGGTTCTTAGCAGATGTCTGTGCTGCTTGTCAGTAATCCTGCCTGTAGGCACTAGGAGCCTCAGACAGTATTTCATAATATAAAAATGACATGTAGAATTATTTTTTGTTGTTTAAATTTGGCTTTGGCTTCCTGGCTAGCAGTTTTACTTATCACCAACATTTTTATTCAGATAGTATCTTGGTTACTTTTCTCTCATTGCTGGGAGAAGCTGTCTAGCACTCAAGATGAAGAAAGAAAAGGCTCACGGTTAGTGGAGGTTTCACTCTATAATCAGCTGGCTCCAAGGCACAATGGCACTTGGCAGAGGGCAGCAGTTCAGGGTGGCAGAAAAATGGTAAAACAGCAAGAACCAAAAGGAAGGGGCAGCAGAGGCAAGAGAAGCAAGCCCCTTTCCCTTCCTTCTATAGTATGCAGGCTGTCTGCCCCAGGCTGGGTGGCGTGTTCACACCCATAATTCCAGCATTGGATCATGCATTCATCACAAGCTCTAGAAGCCCACTTCAGTGACTGCATGAGGCTTTGGGGGACACTTAAGCACAAACCTTAACAGACAGGAAATTGGGTGTGATTCAGAGTTTAAAGCCACCTTCTAGCTGTCACGATGGCTGATGTCCATGGGGTGATGCTCCTGGATACATGAATAACAGTACAGTTCACAGCTGATGGAATCCTGCTAGGCTGTGGGTGTGGCCCGTGCAAGGCCCCGGCTTCCACCCCAGTGCACACGTGCGCGCACACACCCGTACCCACATGCAAATAAATGAAAAAGAATAGTGCTGGCGGGATAACTTTTCTTTATATATGTGTAAAAATGAAATCAATGCCTAATAGATTCTTCTTTCTTGTTTAAACTACAGACCCAGAGGTGGCCTTTTTGCCGCTAGAAATGACAGATTACATAGTCCTTGCAGACAACGATGACTCTGCCATCATCCCCTGCCGTACGACAGATCCCAGCACTCCGGTGACCTTGCACAACAGCATGGGGCTGGTGCCAGCCTCTTATGACAGCAAGAAGGGCTTCAATGGGACCTTCAACATGGGGCCGTACTTCTGTGAGGCCACGGTCCAAGGGAGGACATTCCAGACAATGCTATTTAATATCGTTACTTTGAAAGGTACTTGTGTCCTCCCTCTTCTTCTGTAAATGAAAGTAACAAAGTCATCAGGTGCACATAAGGTTTTTATCTCATCCCTGGTGGTAGAAGTCAGAATTCTAGTTTGAGGATTGAGGACCCCACCTTTACCACACAATGTAGCTGACCTCTTGGCTGTAATAATAGAAAGCTTAGAATCACTAAATGCGAAAGCTTGCTTACACATGTAAGTTTCATGTTTCATTGGTTGACTTCAAAATGCTGTAAGGAATTTTTTTCTTACTTAAGCCTCTTACTATATGATTTACATTCTTGATTACAGAGACCTTAAAGACAAACACAGCCCCCAGGTGGCTGGATGCCTAGATTAATTTTAGTACCTTAAGAATTAAGTGATTTCAATTTTGAGGAAAGGCTGTCGCTGTGGACTGTAGGTCGCATCCTTTGATGTACGAGTTGGCATGAGCTTGGCAGTAGGGCGTGCTGCAGGCCGAGGAGTGTTACGGGGCCCTGCGTGAACATGATACAGCAGCAAGAGCTGCCATCTGACTTTTGGTGAGGGCTTATTATGTGCCAGGCTTTGTGCTTGGATCAGGAAGGCCTCGAGGACAACTGAGGGCAGGGGTGGGCGGAAGGAGATGAAAGGACAGGAGCCGGGTGTCTAGGGGGTGTCAGTCAGCAAGTGAACAAGTGCTGCTGGCACCGGCCCGCGTGCTCAGAAATGCGGCGTTCTTCTTACTGGCATTTGTTTTTATGATTGTTATGTGTGGTTCTGTACTACAGCGACATGCCACTCTGTGCAAAGCGACTTGAGAGCAGACCTCTGATT